GGGGGGGGGGGGGGGGGGGCGGGAAATGACTCACCACCCGGCTTCCTGATTGGCCAGTTTCCTGACCAATCATGAAGCTAGGCGGCGAGTCATTACATGCTGCCTTGCTTCCTGATTGGCCGGGAAGCCGGGCAGCATGTAATGACTCAGTGCCTGGCTTCCTGATACCGGAGGTTCGGGTATCGGGCTAGGCATCTAAGCATTTGGGCGAATTCGAGTACTCACCCAAATACTCGGTATCGGCACCAATACCGATACTGGTATCGGTGCATCCCTACTTTAAAGTGTAAACCCTATTAATGAACTTCTCTTATTTGCTACCTTTTGGTATTGTAGATCTAAAGGAGATTGTACAATCAGATTGCAACATGTGTGGTGAGCTTTAGAATCTAATAATCCTGTAGTCCCACATAAGAACTATGTTGTAGAGATAGGAGCGTGGGATAGTTTATGTAGTTTAGCAAAAGATAACTGGGTAGGGCTGCAGCTAATGACTATTTTCATAATCGATCAATTAGTTAGCCAATAATTTTTTTTGATTAATTGAATAAAAAAAAATACCATTCTTTAATATAAAATACATGGCGGTACATGACATGTGTAGCGCAATCGTCATTTTTCTATGTAGGCGCAGCCGACTTATGTTTCTGTTACTATATATGCGCGTTTGCAGGGTTGGGGGACTTTCAATTTTTGGGGGGACGTTTTTTATTTAATTGTATTTTTTACTTTTTTTTTTTTTTTTACCTCATAGCTATCACATGTGGGGGTTCACAAGCCCCCTATGTGATGGCGCAATGGAGGTGACCCCTAGTGTCACCTTACGACTTCACTACTTTCAGCTGCTGAGGCAGCTGAATGTCAACACAGCAGGCAGTGGCTTGGAACAATAGCCAGCCTGTTGTTGGTTATTCTAAATTGCAATAGCCAATAGCAGGCTGGCTATTGCACCCTCCCACTTCCTGCTGTGAATCAGCAAAAGAGGGAACTGAAGAAGGAATGGGGCGGGCAGAGGAGGAAGAACGCCCCAGGCAGAAGAGGCAGGGTGGGCAGCAGGGGAACAGAGCAGCAGCGGAGGTACGGGGGAGCAGCGAGGGATTGCAGATTCACCACAGTCTCTTCTCCCCGCTGTTGCCGGTTGCAGTGGTCTGTGTCCCCGCTGCCTCTGCCGATACATTGTGTGGAGAGCAGCGGGGATTAAAAGGGACACAGACTGCTGCAGCCAGCACCAGCGGAGAGGAGAACGGAGTAGCGGCAACTAATTGAAAATCAACTAATCGATTAGTTGTTGCAGCCCTAGACACCACACAATCCACAAAAATGCTGTGTGTTGTCAGCCCACAACAGGACTTAGGAGCTGAGTGTATGAGATCAGCTTGTAATTTTCTGCACTTGCAGGGTCTTTAGCTGGATAAAACATGGAAAATGTGCATGTATTGCAGAGATGTACTGCACATGTGGTTTTTTATTTTTTGCTAAAGCATACGTTTAGGCAGATATTAAGATCACCATTTAATTTGTTTATTAAAAATAATGTACATATTACTTGTGCTAGCCTACAGTACCAACCGGAATATCAGCATTTATTTAGGTAGAGAAAGAGGCAGCAATGTAAGCCAATCAGGTTATTCTGTATTGCAAAGTGATATGAACCTGTCAGATCTGCTGACTGCAGGAGGGAGCACAAAGATGACATCATTGTTCACTTTCCTATCAAAGCCTCCTCCAAGCTCCATTGCTTTGACTGTATTGGAGAAAAGCAAATTGACTCGATTGTTTGAAACCCGAAGACCGACTGAACAGAGCTTTACATTTTTTTGCAGACAATTCCCACATATGGATTTCTACAATGCATTTAGCTACTTGTCTATACTTAGACTTCAAAATGGTGCACGCTTAGAGTAAAGCTGGTCATACACTGTGCACATTTTGGCCTGTTCTTGAAATGGCCGAAATTCCTTCAGTGGGTGACTCATCCACATCAGCCCACAAAAGGATACCGGATGGATCCTTAGATGTCAGCATCAAATGATTCTGTCCGACATCCTTCAATCAAATAATCGAGGGAGTCGGCCCGAAAATTTTCAGGTGAACGTTGACAGCAGCCAGTTGGCTGCTGTAGCTGTTCAGGTATTCTGACAGCGGCACACCCTCCACTGTCAGAATACAATAGCCCACCAGGAGATTCCTCCATCCACCACACTGTTTAGGGTGGATGGAGAAATCTGTTATATTTATTTTGTTGAGCCTGCAGTTTGAACAAAAAAATAAATAAATTACTGTGTATGGCCAGCTTTAGACTTTGACCGCATATCAATTGTCTAATTACAGGGCTGCATTTAAAAAGAATTACATTGCAGTTCAATGAAACAAGTTAGGAAGGCATTGACATGCCAAACATCTATGAATCAATTTTGTGGACTGATGTGGCCAACCTAACACGTGACACTCAAACCGTGTATCCAATTCATAGATCACATCAGACATATAATCACATGATAAAGGTTTTATAAACGGGGTGCTGGTAGTAGAAATAAACATAAGACAAAAGTCATGTACGTTTTTTTGAATGGAATGTGCAACCTTCAGGAATCTGGTTCTTGTGGGTATTACAGATATTACTAGGGGTGCACTGATGCCTGTATTTCGACATCGAGTACGAGTACCGATATTCTTTTTCCGGTACTCGCCGATACCAAATACCGAGTACCGGAAGTCCCATTCAGGAAGCCAGGCGGCATGCAATGACTCGCCACCTGGCTTCCTGATTAGCCGGGCAGCGTGTACAGACTCGCCACCTGGCTATCCGATTAGCAGGGAAGCCGTCCCCATGCTTCTCGTCACTAGGTGACAAGAAGGCATGGAGCCGGCTTTCTGGCCCATCATGAAGCCGGGCGCCGTGTAATGACGCAGCACCCGGCTTCCTGATTGAGGTGACGAGGCAGCATGAAGCCGGCTTCCCGATTAATCAGAAAGCCGGGTGCCGCGTCATTACACAGCGCCTGGCTTCCTGATTGGCCAGCTTCCGACCAATCAGGATGCCGGGCAGCGCCTCATTTCACGGTGTCCGGCTTCCTGATTGGCCGGGAAGCCGGCTCCATGCTCTCTCTTCACTTGTGACAAGAGAGCATGAAGCCGGGCAGCGTGTAATGACTCTCTGCCCCGGCTTCCTGATACTGGTAGTATCGGACTATGCATGAGAGCATTTGGGCGAGTACGAGTACTCGCCCAAATACTTGGCATCGATACCGATACTAGTGTCGGTGCATCCCTAAATATTACTCTTTGATACCCTATTTTATAAATTGGTAACTGTGAACTCTGTAATTATTATGACATCTTTCTTTAGTGATGTTCTAATTTATTCCATCCAAAGCGTTATGAATGGCTCTCTAGCTGCTGCGTTAATAAGTCAGAAGTCGTTACTTCAGGATTGCTTTGTTAAAATTCTGTTTGTGTGGATTGAGAAAGTTGCCATCACCGAGGCACTTAGGTTTTCTTTTTTTTCTGTATTAAAGGGACTACGAAGTATACGGATAAGGACAGCGGAGGGATGTTGGTGTGGTCTCCTTATCATACTATACCAGATCTGAAGTGTAAGTATTTTTTTTTTCCCGTAGGCACCTTTCTGTCAGGACCAATAAGTTCAAGCAATACCAGCTGTCATGCTAAAACTCTGATGTATCCTTTTAAAGGGAAGTATTGAAAATCATACATTCCTTAACTACCTCCCGGCCAGCCATTGCTGGAGAGAAGCTGATGAAGCAGATCTCTGCTTCATCAGCTTCTTCAGGGGGGTCCTAGGTGACATTAGGGGTCTGCAGCACTGAAGTACTGCAGCGCTGAACACTGAAAAATGGCCTGGCTAGGAAGGGGGTCTAAACACCTGGTCTTCAAGCGGTTAATTAGGGAGGGTCTCCAAAAACTGAAAAATGTTTTGTCCTTGAAAGGGGATTTCTGCTCTACTGTACTACAATTTCATACAGTTGTACCATTTAAACATGTACGTTTCTATTTCATCTTTTTAAACAGTGGATGAGTATATTGCAATCGCAAAAGAGAAACATGGCTACAATGTGGAACAGGTATGTGTGCATTTGGGTTTGCTGTATGGCTTTGTGAATATTTTCTGTTTGTTTTGTTTAGTTAGCAGCTTGATTTCTATGCTCTGACGAGTCATCTTGTTTTGTTTGAAGCTGAACTCCAGGGAGGTGTGAAAGACACAAATTAATGTGACACTAAACTCAGGAGTTACATACGTAAAATGCATTCAAGTAATAAGAAAAATGTATCTTATTTGTGTATCACTCGGCCGTAGATCCTCAAATCATCTCTGAATTGGTGCTGACACTGTCCTTCCTTCTGGAGGGTGGCTACTTTTGTTCCCCAAGGACCCTGTGTGTGTTGTAAATTAGTCACCACTCCAAACTCACTCCCGTGATGGACTACAATCTCAATCCAAATCAGTTAACTTAATGTGAGATTGTAGTCCATCATGGGAGTGAGATTGGAGCGGTGACTACTTTACAGCACACACAAGGACCATGGGGAACAAAAGTAGCCCCCCTCCAGAAGAAAGGACAGAGTCAGCCCCAATTCAGAGATGATTTGAGGATCTACAGCCGAGTGATACACAAATAAGATGCATTTTTCTTATTAGTTGAAGGTACTGGAATGTATTTTTAGAATTTAACTCCTGAGTTTACTGTCATTTTAAGGGTTTGATCATACTATAGCATTGTTTTGATTGCACATTACTTTGCGATGAACGCACAATGTTGCACATTACCATGTTACCATGCGCTAGGTGCAATAATTACCATTCATTTAAATGCCACCCCAAGCACCTCCCTTAGGCTGTGTGTTACAACATGCAGTACTGCAATACCGTGCGTTGAAAAAAGTATGCATGCAATACTTTTTTAGTGCAATGCATGGTATTGCGGTGCAGCTCTGCAACACATGGCCATCCGAAAGTGTTTTGGGGTGCCCTGCAAATTAATGGCAACACACAGTTAGCATACGGTACCGCAAGCTATGTGTGATAGGGTGTGTTAATCACATGGTATCGTGCAACTCTATGGTGTGAACAGGCCCTAAAGCCACTTTGAATTGCTGAATATATCATTAACTTTATTTTTTAAATGCAAGCAGTGTAAGTACCCAAATTTGACCACTTGCAGTCCTGTACTACAGAGCTACAGTGTGAGGGGATGAAGCAGCGCAAAGAGCCAATTAGATTATGTGCTGACAAGGAATATGCTGATAGGAGGAAAAGGCAAAGTGACAGAGAAATGATTTCATCGCTGTGCTGCTTCTTCTTCACTGCTCAGTCACAGGCTAGGGGTAGGGCCTTCACAGCTCTGAGGAAGAGGGTTGAATTATACTGGCTGTCATTCATCCTTGAAGACTGAGGACATCAAGTGGCAAAAATGAGGTGCTGCTGGGGACAGTTCTGAACTGAAGGCAAGTATTGCTGCAAAAGCTTTGTTTTACTTTCTCCTTTAATGGGCTATAAATATTTTCTTTTTTGGTTAAACTTGTGCTTTAAATAAAAAAGGCTAATAAATGAAGGAAGGGGCATATATTTCGCTGTAGTACTGCTTGTTAAAAAAAACAACACAGTTAAGAGTTCTGTTTTCATAGCGCAGATAAGAGGAAGCCCCTGTTATGTGATGAAGTCTTTTTGTCCTTGGTTTAGACCAGCTTGGCTGTAATAAGCTGAGGAAGAGGCAGTGTATTATACACAGTGTCTGAGATGGAAAACTCTGCAAGTCTGAATGGTAGTAAGGCCCTCTGATATAAACTAACACTATGGGCTCTATTCACGAAGCTGCCGAGGGCAGCCGAGTGAATGACCGATCTGAAGTGATCCGAGCCGATGCATATGCGTTCGGCTCGGCTGAGCCGCTCGGCCATGATCGGGAGCTGTACGGAACCGAAGGGGTCCTGGGGCCGAAGCTAGCCGAAGGATCGGCCGAAGCTACGGCCAGATCCTTCGGCAGCTTTGTGAATAGACCCCTATGTGTCCGCTTACATCAGATTACCCCCGATCCAGCACAATCAGGTCTGTTGAAATGAACACTATTCAGCTTTTTTTTCCCCGGACCTGGCCGGAGTCAAGGGTAACCAGGTGTAAACGAAAACTAGGGATGCACTGATAGCAATATTTCCGTATCGAGTAAGAGTACCTATATTTTTTTTCCCATACTCGCCAATACCGAATACCAATACCGGAAGTCCCATTAAGGAAGCCAGGCAGCGTGTAACGACTCGCCACCTGGCTTCCTGATTAGCCAGGAAGCTGGGCCGCTGTAAAGACTAGCCACCCGGCTTCCCGATTAGCAGGGAAACCGTCCCCATGCTTTCTCGTCACTAAGTGACGAGAAAGCATGGAGCCGGCTTTCTGGCCAATTAGGAAGCCGGGCGCCGGGTAATGATGCAGCGCTCGGGTTCCTGATTGGCCGGGAAGCTGACTCCATTATCCCTTGTCATGAGGTGCCGAGGTAGCATGGAACCTGAAAGCCATGTGCCGCGTCATTACATGGTACCCGGCTTCCTGATTGGCCAGCTTCCTGACCAATCAGGAAGCCGAGCACCGATACTAGTATCTGTGCATCCCTAACGAAAACCCATCCGGCTGCCCATAGACTTGCATTGGGCATCCACCTGAAAAATTGACAGGCAGACCCGATCGGACCGTCCCGTGTGAAAGGGGCCTTAGAGTATGAAGACACCATAGGGCTCATTTTGGCTTTCACAAAAGGGATTGTAGTTTTAATTGTGTAATGTTAATATGTTATGTGGTAAGAGATACACTGTTCTTATTGGAGTTCCCCTTAATTCCAGCACAGATTGAAGTAGGTGGCCTGGATATTTAGAGGATCTTTGTGTTTATGTTCAAGGCTCTTGGCATGCTGTTTTGGCACAAGCACAATATTGAGAAATCGCTCGCTGATCTTCCCAACTTCACACCTTTCCCTGATGAATGGACGGTGGAAGACAAAGTTCTCTTTGAACAAGCATTTAGTTTCCATGGGAAAAGTTTCCACAGGATTCAACAAATGGTAAGACATTGCTTTGTGATCATATACAACTTCATATACTGAGACATCACTGGTCAACAAACCATTTCATTTTGTAGTATTACTGTGTGTTTAACCTCTGTTGAATTAACTCTTTACTTTAGCTTCCAGATAAAACAATAGCAAGCCTTGTAAAATACTACTACTCATGGAAAAAAACACGATCTCGGACAAGTTTAATGGACAGACAGGCACGAAAGTTGGCCAGTAAAAATAACAACGGAGAAAGGTATCGTCCACTAGCAATCAAATTATCACTTAGATGTGTATAAATGAAGATCTCTGCCATTCCTTATAATGACCCTTGCTGCAGATCTTTCATTTCTTAAAGCTTTCTGTGGTCACTGCAAGGTCACTTGTAAAAGAAGACCAGCTCTGTATAAGAAGCCTGTCTACTTTTTCCAGCAGCCAGTGTCATTAAACAATACTGCTTCCCAGTCACTGAACATATTCCAAACTTACAGTTGTGCACATAACTGATCTCTCCACCAGCTCATACATCCATACAGGACATACAACAGTAGGAACCACTGCGTGCAGCAGGGGAACAGGTAGTTAACCTACCCGGAAGGGCAGAGGCAGAGAGCAGTGAAGTGGCAGAGTTTCAAGGCACAGGACAGAAAGGTAAGTATAGATGGGCTTCTCTTACAGGGCTGGCCTTTTTTTTTGGTGCGCCTGTGGTGACAGAGAGAACTTAGAAAGGGAGTGATTTTGTGTTCTTTAGATGAATGTGATCAGTGTAAGATAAATTATCTATTAATGTGGGTTTTTTTAAGTTATATTTGTGTATTACATATGTAGGTACTTCATACTGCTTATTAATATTGATCAGTCCTGCACCAAGCACCCATAGAGATTGACACTTACCAAGCATGTGACTGATCAAAATGTGTTGTGAAGTGTGCTCTCACTTTCCCAGTTTATGCCCTCAAGGAGAACCATACTCATAGAATATTGAGTCTGCTGTTGCTGAACACTCCTTCCGAAAATGCTAGTTGTTGTGCTGATCCAGCAGTTTTAGCTGTTTGAGTCACTGACCTGGAAGAAGTATACACATTAAGGGGTTATTCACAAAAGGGACAAGAGTTTGGAGAAGGCAGGAGAAGTGACCAATCTAGGACAACATATCTGAACTGGAAAGTGAGCTGAATTGGAGAATTTTTCCAAACCAGCTATTTTGGCCTAGATTGTTCACTTCTCCTGCCTTCTCCAAACTCTTCACCCTTTTGTGAATAACCCTGTAAATGTTCTGATATCACTCTTGACATTCTAACCTCCAGGTTACTCCAGCTCAGTGACTGAGAAAGTATTGGCACCATAGACTACTAGTATTCTTAGTAGGTCAGCAGTGGCAGTCCCTTATTTCTCTCAGTACAGGTTTTCTTTGAGTTGATTTGCTTTCAAATATACATTCAAAATAGATTCTTGTGAAGTCTTTATCCAGGCAATCAGGTGAAGCACAAATATGTTATGATGTGAATCAACATCATTAGAAGCACTGCAGAGTCTATTGAGCTAAATGGAAAGCTCTAAATCTGAACCCGGAAGTTGTGGTGTCACCTAGCTTTGTGACCCAGGTTATTAAGTCACTGGTAAAGCCTTTCACAAACATGCATTTCAACTGTGTTTTTAACTGTTTGCTTGGAGTTCTAATTTAAACCATCATTTTATTAGGTTGTATAATGGTTTGTGTGAATCATGTCTGGGAAGAAACTGGACCAAACTAAAGCTTTGTTGTGTTTCTACTCAGCGATGAAGATGTGGATGATACAAATCCCAAGGATGGAAATGATAGTGATTATGATCCCAAAAAAGAAACCAAGAAAGATGTGAGTAAAGCTGACTTGTTCCCAAATTTTAATTGAAGGGTTGCTTAAAGGAATGGATGTGAATGGATCTTAAGAACAAATTGTTCAGCTAATATTGCATCATACACAGCAACCTCATTGGGCCAGGAAAACATGATGGCCCATCGATAGGGTTTTAACCTTTCCCTACTCTATCCAAAACTTTGTAAAAAGTTTTGGCTTTATAGACACAATCTCTCACCCATTAAGTTGTGTTTTTAAAAAACCTTTTAAGCGAAGAATTACTTACCCAAGTCAGCTATCTGGTTGCTGATGGTCCCTTTTGCTGGAACTCTGCTGCTTGACAGCTAGTAGGAACTGTCTACGTCATGGAGGTAATAACATAGACACCCAAAGAACGAGTAAAAGGGACATGTAGGTAGGATTTTTTTTCTATGCAAAGGTTTAGTTTGTTTAGGGTTAGGTAGCATCTAAAAGTCATAACTCCATTAAATTTAAATTTTACAGATTTAAAAATCTGCGCCCAGTTTTACATCTTTATCTTGAATGGGACCTGTTATATCCACCAAACTCTCCAAACCAACACTACATTATAAGAGTTGGACCCACATAATGCCTTCACGAGACTCGCAGAATCCTTCATTTTAGGCATTTTTTAGTTAATAGGAATTCTTAATACAACTGTATTTTATATCATGGGGATATACTCTAGCATGTGTAGTGAGTTTGATGTCTCTTCATCAAGACCCTTCCCGCAGATATCCACAATTGTTAAAGCTTATTATTATTATGTTAATTGTGTCTGAGCAGTGCACAGAAAAGTTACTTTTCTTCTCTATTGAGGGACACGGGAAGTCCTAAACCTTCGTGTTATACTGCTGCCTTCAGGAGGATTGGACACAGCAAACAAAGGAAACTATTGGCAAGCCCAGGATATAACACCATCTACTAGCAGCATGCCTCAGTTTTTTGATAGTGCCCCAAAAAGATAGATGTCATTTTCACAGCCCTGCTATTTTAGGACCTAATCTACTTTTCTTCTAGCACCTCTTTGGTCTATGTTTGATGCTATCATTAAGGATGCTACCGTGAGTAAGAATATCCACCTTCCCTAGTGGCTCACAGGTCCTCTATTACAGCTCCTCAGCTTTCACACCAAGACCTCCCAAGTTTGGTTCTCGTTCCTCCTGCAAGACCTGGCATTCCAAGTCTGGCAAATCCACCAATTAGCCCTCTTTGGCGTGAAGGTGCGCTCCCACGTTCCAGATTGGGGACGCTTGGAAATCTTGCATTCCCAATGCTTGGGTGCAAAATGTGGTTGTCCCGAAGATACAACTTGAGTTTTGTTCCTTGCATCCTCCTCCCTTTCTCACATCCAATCTTCCAGTGTCTTCTCAGACCCTGGCCAATCTCCAACATGCACTTTCTGGGCTCTCCTACTTTTTCACCTTTCCCAAGTCCAAGGCTGTAAGCCTGCCCCCTGGTCTTCAGTTCACACATTTTACCCGTTGGACCTTTTCGGTCTGTGATACCAGCTGCAGGCATAAGGTTGTTCAGATGACTTTATCAGCTGCAGGCAGTCCCCAGTTCCTGTTATTACTTTGGGCCTGTTGACTGTTTGCTGTCTTTCACAACCTCCCAATATGACTGCTTTTGGACATCCTGAAGGTTAAAGACTTCCTGTGTTCCTCAATGGATGAGAAAGAAAATTGGATTTTTGTACTGTCTATAGAACCCTTTCTTAGAGTCCATTACCATCATGTACTAATTTGCTAAAAAAACCAAAACTGACACAGTGCAGAAGAAGGCATGGTAAGCCAGCAATGGGGGAAATGATCAGTGGCAGGCAGAACAGAAACAATACTGGTGACTATTCCTTTGCCCTCTGCCTGCCTTATGGGCACAGGTTCCAGTGTTCACTTCTGTTAAGTGTAACTCCACCTCTTATGTGAGTGACATTTACATTTTTGACAGAGCCGACATTTTGTGGTAACACCGTTTTGTAGCATGTGACCATTTTTATGTCAACTGGCAATAACTAATTATGGTTAGAAATATATGTATTTTTCTCTTTCCTCCAGGCGACCACAGAGTCCTGCATTCAGCCAGTCAAAGTTGCTCTTGGCAGAAGAGAATACCAAAGTTTGCAGCATCGCCACCACTCTCAGCGGTCCAAGTACCGGCCTCCTAAGGGCATGTACATAAGCAAGGACGATGTTGTAGCTGTGTCATGTAGTCCCAACGCTGCCAATACTATTCTTCGTCAACTAGACATGGAACTAATATCATTAAAACGTCAGGTAGTACTTTCTTCTTTACATGTGCACTTGAAGGACACTCATTCAGATGGAAAACTCTGGCAGGGGTATGTGATACTTGGGTTCATGGGCACTGACAGTAAAATTTAGGTTCTTTTTCTGTGTATGCGCTCAATGTCTTGTTCAAAGCTTCCAGTGTATAGGGGACGATTTATAACGGAGAACAGATAACCATATCCCAGTGATTACTCCACACTGCATCTGCAATTTACAATTCAGACGTTATTGTGAAGCCTACGATGTCCCTTCGATTGTCCTTTGCTTAACATTAGGCATGTAACAGGTTTTCTCCTCCCTCGTTAAAATTATTGGGGTTTCGCTTTCTTTAAAGTCATGAGATAAACAAAGTGAAAATGTTCTTTATAAATATGTAAAAACTTTTTTTAACCCCTTGCCCCCCAGCCAACTCATAACAGCAGGTGGGCTTTTTTAAATGTCAAAAGCAAAACCTATTTTCATTGCGTACAGCCAGGCATGACTGATCCATACAAGTGTTCGGGCGCCTATAGAGTCACCCGATCGCTTGTATGGTGCCGTGGAGTGAGCCACACACACACACACACTACCCCTCCTCCCCGCCTGCTATCCTGTGCATCCTTGTCCTCCAGCGGGTCTCTGTAGCAGGACTGGAGAGAGAGCAGCACACTTTTACTTGCTGATTTCCCTCCGATCACTGGACCCAGAAGCTTTTTTGAGGTCCCTAGGTGACATTAGGGGTCTAATAGACCCATGATGTCTCCATAAAGAGGACCTGTCACTGTGTGCGGTTGACCCTCTATGTGATGGTAATAAACTGTCGGGTGCTGCTATACATTTAGGCTGGGTTCACACCATTTTCCAGACCAGATCTGGAACATAGTGCATTGCGTTTTTGCCGTAATTGGAATGTATTTTTATTTTTTTAGCTTAAAATGGTTTTACAGGTGCGTTCCATGCATTTTTCATGCGTTTTGGTGCATTCCAGACCAGACAAAATAGGGCAAGCAGTAGTTTTCTGGTCTGGTTTAGAACGGACTGCGCTGGTGGGAACAGAGGCCAGAAATAGCATAGGAATACATTAGGATGCATTTTGGGTCCGGAAACTAGTCTGGTCATATCTGAAGGTAATCTGGATGTGGCGTGAATTGGGCCTCAGGCATTTCTCTCAAGTTCTCTTTAAATGTTTAAGTCAACATACACTCTTGGGAAAAAGTAAATAGTTTAAAAGATTCTAAACATCTTAAGTGCCCCAGATGATTTTTATGCTCTATACTGATTCTCCTATTGATTTGCTAAATGTGGCTTTTGCTTACATTTCAAGGTTCAGAATGCTAAGCAGATAAACAGTGCACTTAAACAGAAGCTGGAAGGCGGAATAAAGGAGTTCCAACCAGCAGAGGTAAAGCTTATGTCTTCCATGTCACTCTAACAGTCTTGAGTTTACTGAAAGTGTAAGTTCACCTTGGATGCTCAAAAGAGAATACAAATCCTTAGATGTTTCACATTTACAGATGTCTTTTATTTAGGTATTTGCTGGATTGTTATATTCTTCTGGATTGTAAATGATGTATGACAGGTACTGCATGTAATAGACTGATCCAGTAGATATTGAGTGGTTGAGGACCACTATTCTAAAAAAAAGAGGTATGTAGTTCATGCATGTAACGATAACATTTATTATAAGTGGACAATGATGCAGCTGAATTCCAGGCAGATACAAAAGTCATCTCATAATGTATGCCTTCAAATAATAATAATTGTTTTTAATTACAGTTAATAAACACACCTGAATATGTCTTCATATTGGCTTCCTGTGATCTACCCAGCACATAAAGGAACAAGGCAGCATTGTCAGTGAGAATTCACTGCTTTGCACAATGTTATCAATCTAATGATGGTAGCTTGCTGTCAGGAAGGCCAAGCAGAGTAATAAGCCCATATGTGTGGCAATGCGGCTTTATTGGCAGGGGGGTGGGTCAGTGACGTAGGTGCTTTTAGTGAAGAAAAGTGAGGTCAACCTGGTTACACTGTCTGGTAGGCGAGGCCTTAATCACTAGACTGGCTGAACAGAATTAAAATTTGTTTGCAAGTAGGATAATCGTGTGTGTGTGTTTGCCGGGAATTCAGGTTTAACAAAGGTGAACTTGCACTTTAATTGTAGTTTCTTTTGTCTCTGCTGCTTCACCTTTCATTTTGCTTTTTACAGTCAACTCAGAAAGTAAATGCCCGCTGGACTACAGAAGAGCAGCTTCTCGCAGTGCAAGGTTAGTGGAGCATAAGATGCTGCTCGGTAAATGATAGCTTGTCATTTTCCTATTTCCCTTTACAGACCTGCAATGACTGTGTGCATTTCTATGTGATTTGTAACTTTGTTTTGCTGTTAGTTAAGTTGCTCCAATCACACAAGAGGTCATGTGCTTGGAGTCTGTTTAAACAGCCCCGATGCTGGCGACGTACACTGTACGTCGTCAGTCACGAAGGGGTTAACATCAGCACTCTCACCAGCGCTGCTGCACAATTATAGACACAGGAAATATATTCCTGAAAGGGAAAGTCACAGCAACAAGCAAACAACCAATGAGAAATCTTGATACATAAACAGCCGGATACATGGTTGATGAAACAAAGGAGCAGGTAAAACGTAGTTTGTTGCTGTAGGTTTTGGGAAATGTAGGGATACACTAGATTTAGAAAACACGAAATCTCTATTCACAGCATCCTAATAACAACATGTAGTACACTCTGCAGCCAGATTTGTGCTCACAGTTTGCACTACACTTGTTACTTATACTCCAAATAAGGGTTTAGTGTCTCACTGGAGGGTGTAATGTGTTTGACTGCTTCCCAAACTGGTCTTTCTGTTCATTTACTCAGTGTGTTACCACAACATCCGATCTATGTGTAGTATGCCAATGGCTGTGTATTTACATATTTTATTAATTATCGCAATCATTTCTTGAATGACTGGTTCTTTTAAAGCAGAGGTGAACATCCTACAGCACGCAAAGTCTCTTGCGGTGGCACTGCCCCCTACCCTATTTCTCCTCTTAGTTGTTCCAGCAATTGCAGAAGGGAAGCATATAAAGCCCATTATTGTCTGATGGTGCAGCAATTGAGACTAATCTTATATCTTGGAATTGGGTCTGATATGAAGTGTTAAGGAGCAGGAATTGGGTCTGATCTGAGGAATAAGGGTGAATAAACTGGGGCGGATTTAAGGTGTGAAGGTGCAGGAATGAAGGCGGATCTGAGGGGTGAAGGTGCAGGAATTGGGGCGGATCTGAGGTGTGAAGGTGCAGGAATTGGGGCTGATCTGAGGTGTGAAGGTGCAGGAATTGGGGCTGATCTGAGGTGTGAAGGTGCAGGAATTGGGTCTGATCTGAGGTGTGAAGGTGCAGGAATTGGGGCTGATCTGGGATTTGAAGGTGCGGGAATTGGGTTTGATATGAGATATGAAGGTGCAGGAATTAGGGCTGATCTGAGATGTGAAGGTGCAGGAATTGGGTCTGGTCTGAGGCGTGAAGGTGCAGGAATTGGGTCTCATCTGAGGTGGGAAGGGGCAGGAATTGGGTCTGGTCTGAGGCGTGAAGGTGCAGGAATTGGGTCTCATCTGAGGTGGGAAGGTGCAGGAATTGGTCCGATATGAAGTGTTAAGGTGTAGGAATTGGGACTGATCTGAGATGTGAAGGTGCAGGAATTGGGTCTGATATGAAGTGTTAAGGTGCAGGAATTGGGACTGATCTGAGGTGGGAAGGTGCAGGAATTGGGTCTGGTCTGAGGCGTGAAGGTGCAGGAATTGGGTCTCATCTGAGGTGGGAAGGTGCAGGAATTGGTCCGATATGAAGTGTTAAGGTGCAGGAATTGGGACTGATCTGAGATGTGAAGGTGCAGGAATTGGGTCTGATCTGAGGTGGGAAGGTGCAGGAATTGGGTCTGATCTGAGGCGTGAAGGTGCAGGAATTGGGTCTGATCCCAGCTGTACATTCAATTTTTTTTACTGGTTGAATTTGTCGGATTTGTGTTTTTCCAGCGTAACCATGTGACTAACCATAAACTTAACTGTTAAACTAAGGATGCTGAAAATAAGAAAAAAATTTTGCTTAGCGTATAACCCATGTAAAACGCGTCATGCTCCCTGTTGTGAGATCATCTGTCTGGCTCTCCAGCGTACTGCCTGCACAGGGCGACTACTTTTTTTTTTTTTGCCCAAACACATAATAAAAGAGATACTATATATTTTACATTCTATGCAGCCTGATTGTAGATGAGTAATACAAGAGTTCAGTTGGGTTTCTATTGACGTAAGCGCACACTCCAGAACTACATCTCTTAAGAGCACTTTACCTACACATAGTTTTGGGGCATTTATTTGGGTAATAAATCAGTGTATGCACACTCTCAGCTCCATCTAGTGGCCATAATATGGTATTTACCAAAATAAAATATACTGAGAACACTCGTTCTTGCCTCTATTTGCACAGAACAAACGTTCACTGATTCTTATGGCAAATTGATCTGTTAATTTTTTATAACTAGACCCCTTAGTGTGTCTGAAATGGGTATATTATTTACAAAATAAATTCTAAATCTATTGTAGGTTGTTGTTTTTTTTCTTCTTCAAAGAAGAGATTTGAACCAGCTAGCCTATATGCTTCCACCACAAGATCTCCATGCTGCAGCTCCTTGTGTCCTTGCTTGCTCCGGCACTGGTCTCTAGTGGAGATACTGGGAGGTGGGGGTCTGTATCTCATGCTAGACATTGTTCACTGTATGCCAGCCTGACATATGTAGTAAATAATATATCCCTTTCAGAGGCGCCAAGCCTGTTGAAGATACACTTATCCTGTCATTCCTGATTGCAGTGTGAAAAGAACAGAAGATGAGATTTGCTGTAATTATGATCTTGGCTAAGGTTTTAAATTATCGCTGAGCCCCCGCACATAATAGATTTGTTCTGTGAGTCATCGGCGCTCCTGCTAGATCTGTATTTATCAAATATCCCACAGCACTGTGTGCAGGTAATTGGTTTTCCAGTGCTCAGATCTAAGTTGCAGGATTTTTCACTGTCCAGTGTTGTTTTGTAGCTCACTTGGTAAAATTACTTTTTACATTTTTTTCTCAATTCATGTAGTATCGCAGATTACAAATATCTTAATAGTTAAATGAGACCCCCACACTACCCTGCCTACCCTGATTCCCTGAACTCCTAAAAGGTGACAAGACATGACATAAGTTTTGACTGTGACGACATCATCTCCAGAATCCCACAACAGATGAATTGGTAATCCCTTTGTCTATGCTGTTTGGGAGGATCAGGCCCGGTTCACATATGAGCGATCCGAGATCGGGCAGTGCTTGCAATCCGCGCTGTTTTGGGCCATGTTTCCGTGGATGCAATCACGCACAAACACAGCCGCAAAAAAATGCGGGTAGCTCAGCAGCATTGAAATCAATGGGGCTGCGCAGCAACTGCGGCACGCAAACTTGCGGTCCCAGGCAACCCATATGTGAACCTGGCCTCAGAGTTCAGGCAGAGCTGCTAACAAATGAGACCCCCACACCCTGATTCCATCAACTCCTAAAAGGTAACAAGACATGACATACCTTTTGACTGTGAGGACATCTGCTCCAGAATCCCACAACAGATGAATTGGTAATTCCTTTGTCTCTGCTGTAGGCGAGGATCAGGCCCGGTTCACATTTGAGCGATCCGAGATCGGGCAGCCAATCGTGGCTAGCAATCCACGCTGTTTTGGGCCATGTTTCCGCAGATGCAATCACGCACAAACGCAAAAAAATGCGGGTTGCTCATCACACAAAAAGGTGCATGAGCCTTTTTGCCACGGATATGACCCCATTGAAATCAATGGGGCCGTGCAGCAACTGCGGCGTGCGAACTGCGGTCCCTGGTAACTCATATGTGAATCAGGCCTCAAAACTTAGGCAGAGCTGCTAACAAATGAGACCCCCACACCCTGATTCCATCAACTCCTAAAAGGTGACAAGATATGAAATACCTTTTGGCTTTGGCAACATCTGCTGCAGAATCCCAAAACAGATGCATTGGCAATGATCACTTTGCTGTAGGGGAGGATCAGCATTTAGGGCCTGTTCACACGACGTCCGTTTTGTGTGCTGACCGGCTCCGTACGCTGCTGCACTCAAAATGCATCCCAATGTATCCCTATGTGTTTTATGGGCTCCAGTTCTCACGTGCGCAGTCCGTTCAGCTTACGACAGAGAAAATACTGCATGTCACATTTTGTCAGGTCCGGAAACGGTCCAGATGAACAGGCCCTTAGGCAGAGCTGCCAATTGGCTAATCCAGCAGTGAGCATGTTACCAGTGCCTAGGCCATGGTCATGTGATGAGCCATGTTTGTTTGCATATAAGCAGTTTCCAAAGTTAAGGTATTTTTGTCCCTTTTGAGAACTTTTTCATGACTCTAAACAGAACCTGTGAGGATTTGAAAATCTATACTTGAATTTTAAAGTTGTAGGTTCCTAGTCTTTCATCCTAAATCCTGACCTCATTATCTACAAGCAAATTTACCCTAAACACACAGGACAGAATAGTAAACTGCAAATATCCCACTGTACCGGGTGTATGTCCTCAGCTCACTCAGTGTCGGATGCCGGATGGTGCCACAGCTTTCCCTAGCTTTCTATAGCACATATAAAGAAAATATGGAAGCCACAAAACACTATTGACAGTTAACTGTGCTATTGCAATTCCTATTTTCACCAGCTGAAATTCCAAAAAAAGGCAATACAAATCCAGGGCACAGAAAGCCGGCTGCACTCCGTGGAGATGCAAATGCTGGCACCTTTATTCTTCTGGACAACACAGACAAAGTGTTCCATCTGGTACCTCTATGATTAAGCCTAGTATTATGTGTGAAACGTGTCAGGGTAAGAGGTTCCTGGTGGCATTCTGTGTTGTTTAGGTGAAAAAGTTTACCACATTCTGAATCTCCATAGAGCGCAGGTGGCTTTTTTCCCCTCGATTTATGCAGCCTATGGGGCATAGAACAAGCCTCTGCTGGTGTTCAGCACCCCGCTGACCTTGGAAGCAATGCACCCTATATGTTTGTCCAAAAAAGGCAGATCGTGGGGGGTGTCTAACCTTGACTTCTAAAGACGGGGGAAACAACTCGGCAAAGTATCTTCAATCCATTCTTTGTGGCGTTAAAGCACTATAATATTTCACACATGAGTTGTGTAGTGGAGGTTTTATCACAGACTTTAAGAGCCCATTTACACCAGTGTGCCGTAAATGAAACCCAGAGCACCTTACCCAGAGCACCTTATGTGTGTCTGAAAATACAACTTGCCACTTTTTCAATGAGTGATTGTTTCAGCCCATTCATTTTAAATAGGCTGTTTAACACCATGCTTCAACTCCTGACAATGAGTGCATTACAGCACACAGCATTGTAATGTGAATGAGCCCTACATGTGCAGACAAGGGTCAGCATGTTACAGGAGGCAGAGTTCTCACGAGAGAAGACATGGCAGCAAAGGAAACCTGTTCTAGAAGAGCAATGCACCGCTTACCTCTCTTGTTCTTCAGCCAGTTTGAATAAAGTGATCTACGCTGCTTAATAACTTTCTGTCTCCACAAGTTCCTACTGTGAATTTGATTAGAATGTGTTTTGCAGTCTTTCTACCTGCAGAGAACCATTTACTGAGTTAAGTAGCTGTTTACAATTAGTGATTACTTAGGTTCTGACTGTATTGGATAGAAAATTCATCTCCTGTTGGTCAAAATGATGTTTTCTTGCCTTCTAAAGTACAGTATATATAGGGCTATATCAGTGATTATTCTAAATCTAATTGGAATGATTGGTTATAATAACAGGCAACACGTGGTTATCTCTGTTTTGATATCTTATGTTATAGGTCATATAGCATGAAAGGACCTTTCAACAGCTTTGTTTCTTTACTATAATCTGAATAATCAAGCAAGTTTGCAAATTTCTCTGGTTTTTTTTCTGCGTGAACTGTACTAGAAGCATTAGGAGCCTCCAGTCTAAATATTTGTCTGCCTCCTTATAAAGACATCTGCAGCCACAGAGCTCTCTGTCCACAGTATATGTGAAATATATACTCTTCAGAATCTCTGTAGATGTGCCTGCTTCCTAAGCATGTTCACAGTTGGCTGAAAGCGAGAGGCGAGCTCATGCATCTAAGGAGATGCTTTCCTCTATATGGCTCCAGAAAACATTTTCTGCCAGTCTCTTTTTCCCATTCTTGGCACATTTCCTTAGCCTCTCGCTACCTGAAATTCCAAGCCTTTGCTGTACTGAAGTTATAATCTGGGCTGTTATTTAATCAACTAAGCATGAGCAAAATTTACATTACTCTGGCCTCAAAATTACTCAAAATTTACATTACTCTAAGTTACTCAGAGGTAACTTATTGTTACCCCTGGTTTATATATTCTACTATTCCAAAGCTACCAATAGTGGAGTTACAAAATGTAGCTTGCAGTTCCAGGCCAACCATGTGACTTTGAGCTCCTCTAGTAGCTGGAGAACCATTGTATTCCTGGTAATGGTATTAGGTTTTGCTGATATTTAGCCCACTGCAATAAACATTTGCAACACGTTAATATAGTATCAAAGTGAATTTGCCAGGTCATAAAAGATTCTTAACAAACAATAGTCACACAGGGCAGACGGTTCATGGTGACCACAGATACCTCTTGTTAATCTTCTGATCTTTTTGCGTGTGCCCGATGAGCTTTTCAGTCTTGGACACATGCTTATACGTAATGTTCAATCTCTGCCTTGCAGCTATGCCAGCCCCTGAGAATGTAATATTTCAATGACAGTACCCTCTAGGGTTGATCCGATCATCTTCTTTTCAGTAGTTTTCAGGAGTCCCTCCAATGCTGGTGTCAGTCTCTGATCTAGTGCTCACTGCTGTGTCTTCCTGTCCCATGGAGTTTGTGCGAGTGCACGCTGCCAACTGTGTGCATTGACTTATCCTGTGTCTCTCCTCTTCTCCCGGCCAAAGATCTGTACTGCGCATGCGGCCCCCCATAGTCTTTCACGGCCATCTGAGAATCTTCAGACGGGAGTGAGCAGCTGAGACATAGGTAAGTTTTAACATATTTGGTAACTTTTTTTTTAATGTGTTTGCATATATCTACTGCTTGCTAGTAGATATATGCAAAAAAAATTAATGTTTACTTCTACATTAAACTAGCCATACGCAGAGCATATTTTGGCTTGTTCCTGATGAACCGGCCAAAATGTAAGCAGTGGGTGGCCCCATCGGCACCCCTCCGGTCAACAAATTTGATTTTTCAATCGCCTTTTGCCGGAGGAGCCAGTCCAAGAATTTTCGACTGAACAGTGCCTGCATCCACTGTCCACGTTCTCAGCCGCAACTGGAGGATATAATAGCTTGGAAATTCGTCCATCCATGCTTTTTAGCGTGGATAGAGGGATCTGTTGGATTTTTCCAGTGTATGACCAGCTTTAGTTAGAGCAGAGGTTGAGGCCTGCTTATGTCATAGGCCCAGAACTAATTTGGCTCCCTGGGGGCAAGTAACTGATTTGAGGATTATAAAACTTGGGAACATTGTTAGTTTTTAAACCTTAATGACCTGATTGGGTCCCTTTAAGCGCCTGCTCGCATGTACTACAATTCACTTGAATCAGCATAAGATTAGTTTTTCTGTTTGCAACTATTTATTTGGTGACCCTTAATGTTGGCATATATTTTTAATATAGGAAAAGGTTTTATATTCACATATTATTTTGCTAGTTCTTACAGTAAATTTCTACGAAGAGCAATTTTGGGTTTCTAAATGCAAATTTGTATTTCATTCTTAAGAACATTATTTTTACCTGGTCTGTGTTACATCTGTATAATTTCTGTAATGTCTCTACCTTTATAACTTGCCTGCGCCTTACTCTTTTAATTGATGATGAATATTGATGACAGTATGAATATCCCTTGTACGGACACTCAGCATGTTTGCTGTGGTGGTGCTAAGAATCATCCTATAGCAGCAGCGGAAAACATACCTTCTGAATGGCAGCCAATGATCCTATGATATGACTATAATCAGAACTTCCTTACATCAACATCTAATTAAAAAAATGTTCCTACAACTTCAGTAAAGAGTTCTAATTCTTAAAGTGACACTGAACTCCGGAGTTAAACCTTACAAATGCATTCAACATAACTAATAACAAAAATGTATCTTATTTGTGTATCACTCGGCTGTAGATCCTCAAATCATCTCTGAATTGGTGCTGACACTGTCCTTCCTTCTGGAGGCGGGCTACTTTTGTTCCCCATCATCCCTCTGCTCTATTGAGATTGTAGTCTATCACGGGAGCGAGCTTGGAGCGGTGACTACTTTACAACACAAATGAGATACATGTTTGTTAATAGCTATGGAACTTGAATGTATTTTTTAGGTTTAACTTCTGAGTTTACTGTCACGTTAAGTGCTATAAGTCAATCAGAGTTCACTCTGCTAAAGTCTGATTAGCAGGAGATTGATTTTAATTTGTTGCTATGGGTTATTGTTAGGAATAAGAACTCTTTATTGAATAAAACCAAGCATCTCTGACTCCAGTGCTGGATGGGGTATTGCCCTAAAGGGATAATAAAATTGAAAGGTTTTTACGCTTTTTAAAATGCTGATTAAATCACTTACAATGGACACTGTTCCTTGATGTTTAAAAGTTTTAGTTTGGTGCAGCTGGTCCCCTGAACACTGGTCCTGGTTTCCTGTTTTAGGTTGGCTCCTTTCCCTTGCAGGGTCCTATGGAGGCACCTTGTGTGTGCTAGTAAGCTGTGGGTGTGTCCACGAACACTCACACAGAGTAAGCCACTCCCCTGCTCTCTGCTCCTCCCTCCTTTCTTCTTCAAGCTAGTAGATGGACAACGTCTGGAGACTGCTCTGTCCCTTATCCCATGTTTTGACTTGAAGTGGTTTGTCTTTTCTCTTCACAGTTTTCTTGACATGTTACTTCTATGACAGGTTTTTTTTAACTCTGCATGTCCATTTTCACTGCTGGTTTTACATTTCTTTGATAAAGAGGTCCCAGTCACAATAATGTCACACAGTATAGAGAACATTGGCACATGGTCACTCATAATTCTCATATATTCAGCAGCTGAGAGTGGGTTTACTAGGAGCTACATTCTAAGTGTTTTTTAGGGGTTATTGCCAATCACCGTTGTTTGCAATATGATGTTAAAAGTTAGGCCACCCAAAAGCAATATTTCAGTTCTGGTTGGATGCCAATGGTCTAAGTCACCCATTGTTTGCTTATATTTCTTGAGGCCCCCCAAGACAAGTAGTCCCCATTGCAGTTCCTGTCTCTGTCCACTTCCAACATGGACATTGAGAACCCCTGGTATCAGCTTCAGCCGTTGGGGGTGCTAGGAACCTCAGACTCTCCTAGCAATAAAATGAGTCAATGGGTGCTTCAATCCTCTATCATCTACCCAAAACTGAAGTAATGGTTTTGAGTTGACTGATCCTTTAATTCGACTCACCAGCAGCCATAGGACGCTTCATACTCACCTGCCCTGCTGCCTGTTCTCCTGTCTTCACCCTACAGCCACCTGATAAATCTTTACATCTGGCACGTCCAGGAGTGTTGGGTGCCTGCGTCCCCTGCCATGAGCATTGTGGTTCCTTCCACTTACCCCTTTCTGTGTCAGATGTGTAGAGGCCATTGCTCTGCAAGAAAGCAAAAGATCTGGGGAAGTGGAGGCAGGACAGGGGAGTATAAAGCCTCTTCTATGGAAGGTGGTGCATTGCCACAACATATTGTTAACCCAGCGACAGAGTCACTTTAAGTTGTGGCCAAAATGTACTTGCCTTTGTATATCAATTTTGTAAAGGTAACTAGTGTCCTAGAAAGAACATATGAGAACGATCGCTATCATGTTGCCACAAGATGTGTAGAAACCAAAATTTCAACCATGCACGTTTTGTTGACATACAAAGCACTCGAATGAGCCTGCAGTCTTTGGTGAATGTTGTACTTTGCCTTCCAGGTGTCCGCAAATATGGTAAAGATTTTCAAGCTATTGCAGATGTAATTGGCAACAAGACAGTTGGTCAAGTGAAGAACTTCTTTGTAAACTACAGGCGCCGGTTTAACTTAGAGGAGGTATTGCAGGAATGGGAAGCAGAACAAGGAACCCAGGCCTCTAATGGTGATACCTCTGCTTTAGGGGATGACACAAAAAACACTTCTCATGTGCCATCAGGAAAGAGCACTGATGAAGAGGATGAGGTGTGTTTGTGTACCCACAGCTCAGACATGTCATTTTTTTTTTCTTCCTTTTTTGCAGTTATTGATTACCTATAAATAGGTAGTATTTAGCAGTGTAAAATTTTATTGTCTACACTTGAATATTTTGTTTTATGTATGCATACATTTATATATATGAATAGTATGATTTTTTTTTTTTCTTCAAAAGTTACTTTTGTACGATAAGACTATACATTATGTAATGCATATAAACATGTGTTTAGTTTTGTATACACGATTTTCCTTCCCGCCTCTAGGGGGATTCCGAGAAGATGATGTTGAGGTATAGGCCACATCTGGAAGAGTCAGAGTACTGAATGACTTCTATCTCTCTATTGTAGTCTTCATAAACACTATTGGCATGTCTATCTCTGTATTGTAGGCATATGTAAGCCTATGGGGGCATGCCAGCACTATTGGCATGTCCTTGTCGGGGCCAGGTTAAAATAGTTTTCCTCCCTTAGTCCTTCCTTTGGTAGCATGCAGAAAGCTGAACTCTGGGATATGCAAATATTGTCTAAATACAAAAGAAGCATGTGTATTCTTACTTGATTCTTGGAGTTCTTTATGTATTTGTGCAGTAATTCAGTGTAAAACTTTGCCTTTGTACAGGAACTGTCTGTAATAAAGGCCGGTCACTGCTGCTTGCGTAGGGTGACTGGTTCTGCCTCCACTCCCTCCAGTAGTTTTTCGTCAGACAGCGTGTAATGGATGTGCCTTCTAGGTCCCTCCTGCAGCTCTGCTCTCTGCAGTTACGATGTCGCTGCTACTTTAATATCGTAATATCTGGATATACAAAGGTTTTTGGTGCATACAAAGTGGGTTTATCCTAGGTGGCTGTTCAAGATTATATTGGGATAAAAGAATTTTGTGCCCAGAGTTCAGCTTTAAAGTAAACATGAACCCGGGATTTGAAATAATTAGGCAGTAAAGTACATCTAAATCATTAACATAACCACAATTATTTTTATAAAAACAGCCAACCAGTACCTGTTTTTCCTTGATTTTACAGCAGTCCCATGGCTGCAATTCTCAATTTCAGCTTTTTGCACTCCTGGGCCTTGGGAAGGTTCTAAGCCACAATATCTGGCTAGTACTGTTGGCTTTAGGACTACAACTCCAATGCTCTTATAACACAGGCTGACAATGGGACTCTGCAGGCATATTGTGCACACAATTTTGTTGTTCCAGGCCTGGAAGCACACAAGTGATACTGACAAGGTCTACCATAGGATTAGGACCCTGTGGGTAATGTTGTGAGCAGAGAACAGGAAGCAGGGAAATGTGCCAGCAGGATTAACAGGTATTGTTGGCACTTAAAAAAACACATACAACAAAAAGCCTACACTACTATGAAAAAAAGTCAACAAATATTAATTTCAATGGGGAGACTACAGTAAAAAACAATTGCAAATTATGTTCAAAACCTAACAAACAAGTTTTGTCCATGGTTTATTTTTAAGGCTGGTTAAATGGAAACCCCTGCAATTAATGTGCAGCTCTGAGCAGGGGAGGGTTGTGTCACTGTTCCCACTCATTCAGTAGCTTTCAAGACACACTTTTCTAAAGCTACTTTCACACAGAGCTTCTTTTCTCTGGAGCCTCTCTAGATCTAGCCTCAGAAACTCCTCGGAAAAAATCCTCAAATTTTAAGTTGTATGTTGGCTTATAGGTAAACATGGAGCCAGCGTGAAAGATTGTTTCAGTTTTACTGGTATCCAAAGATTGTGGTGACATAAGCAGCCCCAAAATGGAATCTGCTTCACGTGCAGGTTTCTTTTACTCAACTGGAGATGGAGTGATAGTTTCCAAAACTGCTATTCAAAAAACACAGCTCTCAAACCCACTTCATCTGTCAAATCTTTATGGCAGTAGTTATGGCTCACAAAGATTTCCCTAGTTTCAAAACCTTCCAGATGTCCCACCATAGGCAGGGGAAGTATTGGGTAGAGTTTTGCATTTTACAACATAAAATGTATACAGTTGTTGTCTTTTCACCTAAAGAAGGAGACTTCTCAGAAGATAAAAGAAGCTTGCTGAACCCCCTGGTGGACCCAGTGCACATTGCTTTTGGACCCATTCAAATCTGTGCAAGGATTTCTGAGCAGAGTTATTGGACAGCTCGCCTCCCCACCCACCACTGCTGCCCAACAATGCTGGATGAAGGAGATGGCAATTCTAACTGACAGCACAGAGAAATAGGGGCTTGACTGGCAGTGCACACAAAGCACAAACAACCCCCTCCTCCTCTGAAATCTGCCAGACTGAACATCTCTAACTCTGCCCTGCAGCCCTGTGCTTTCCCTGATCTTCTCTTCCAGCTTCTTTAAAGTAACACGGAATGCTGTCAGTGGCTAAAGAGAAGCTCCGTCTGGCAGCTTTCAGAAGAAGAGACCGATGGCGGGTGTGCAGACTATCCAGTGTGCACTGTAACGCCCAGAGCAAGTGGCAGAATAAAGAGGAAGATGTGACTTCCGTGCTGCCTATAACTTTCTCATTGGAATGCCCCTAAATTGGGCTTTAGCCTGGGGTGTAGCACTGACAGAAACACAAATTGCATTTTATTTGAAATCCCTTGCTCTGATTTGAATAGGACCAAGTGCATTATGCACTGGGTCCCCTGTGGTGAGGGGTTAGCAATCATTTTCATCTTCTGGCAAGACATCTTCGTTAAAGTAGGTGGGAATTTATAGGGAGATCTAGGATGAAGGATGGATTTCAGTTTCTTAGCGTCTAACTTTCTAAAGGTGGGGTCTATTACCTTGAGTCATCTTCTCTGCATCCCCCTAGGTGTTCCATGAAAAAGATTTTACGGTGAGTCCAAAAATCCCTTTATTAGAGGACTTGAAAATTGATTTTTTTTTTTTCCTTTTGTTTTGTCGTAGGTACAGAACAGCCAGACGGCTCCTCCAACCAGCCAGTCACCTCCAGAACAGTCCTCTGCCCCAGCACCGGCAGCTTCAGCATCAGCCTTGAACCAGCCGCCACCTCTTCTCCGGCCCACGCTACCGGCTGCCCCAGCCCTACATCGGCAGCCTCCACCTCTACAGCAGCAGGCTCGCTTCGTTCAGCCAAGGCCCACCCTCAACCAGCCGCCTCCTCCTCTAATTCGGCCTGCTAGCTCCTTGCCCCCTCGTCTGAACCCAAGGCCAGTCGTGACCACAAGCTCCGGTCAGCAGCCTCCCTCCCTTATTGGAATTCAAACCGAACCACAGCAGACAATGCACTGATTTTATGTCGCTATGTTCTCAGCTTAAAAAAAGGTGAACTTTTCAATAAGCTATTTTTTGAGAGAGAAGAGTCAGTTTTGGAGCCCTTGTCTGAAGTTTGACGAATTCTTCTACCACTCCTAACAAAGATCATGACGTTTCAGATGTTAAAGATTTTTGTACCATACACTAAACTGATACAGAATGTAATGTAGCCTTTTTTTTATATACATACCGAGTCAGACGTAAACCTCTTGTACACCAAAGTGTGTGTTTTTTTTTTTCCCCCTAGATTCATCTGTTATTATGTGTTAAGCATTCGTGCACTTATTGGCTGACCATATTATGCAATAATTCTCCAATGAACTTCTACTTGTGAATGTTGAAGTGATGTGCAATCTGAGGAGTTATAAAACATATCTGATTGTGCTAACCAGTGTTAAAGTGAACCATGCACACAGAGTACAGATGGCTATAATGTCGCCAACCCAGCATTAAAGTGAACCTGTCAGATGGCTAGATGGATACTTCCTACAAATATTAGAAGTATCCTTCCAGTCAAAGCTGAAGCGATGTATAACTGCCCGTGGGCTTCTGTTCGGCCATAATTGTAATTTGCCAAGCCACATTACTTATCACATTGCCTTGTTGCATGTGATAGGGTGTACTCAGAGCACCAGTTTCCGAGGCATGCAGAAGTGCAGGCCAAGTTTTGTCACACTGCCATCGGAAGCTCCACTGTGCCTCAAAGAGAGGAAGACTGTGTATAATCATGTAACATGATGCTACAGTGTCGTGCAAGAAACATGTAGGAAGCATCTGGCTGGGATGAATTACTTAAATGTCAGATTAAAGGGAAACTCAGGGCCTCTCTGAGTTACAAATTGTTGCAATATTCCTTGCAGCAAAGCAGCTAATCAGATCACAGTTAAAGTGACCCTAAATTCAGCAGTTAAATCTTAAAAATACCTGCACCAATTCAGAGATGATTTGATGATCTACAGCCGAGTGATACACTAATAGGATACATTTTTGTTAATATTTAAGATACTTTAAGGTATTTTAAGATTTAACTGCTGAATTTAGTGTCACTTTAACTGTGATCTGATTAGCTGCTATGGGCAACACATCCATTTTCCTTCCCTCCACTGTAATAGTACTCTCTGCGGAGTGATTACTCATGCAACAATTCATTCCAACCAATCAGCAGTCTTCATTCTTGAATTCAAACTGATGATTGGTGATTTCTTATTGGCTGCTATGAGTTGCTGCACTTTGTTGTTCTTTTGCACTGCTTTATA